GAACAGAGAAACTTGTACAGGGATGTGATGCTAGAGAACTTCAGCAACCTGTTCTCAGTGGGTAAGGAAGGCTTCCCAGGCAGGGCGACTCGAAATCTGAAGTCCGAAATACACAAGCACCCCCTGTGTGGCTAAACAGGTTTGGCCCTGAGGTTCTCTTTACTTTGGATACATTTTGGTTGATCTAGGATTACGGCAAAGCAAGTGAGGTGTGCGAGTGCTAAATTTAAGGAGCCCTGACTTTCAGGGTCATGCAGGTGCTCTGTGAATGAGGCCATTTTTAAGTTTTTCAGGCTACACATCTCTTCCTTCACCTAGTCCTGGCCTTTGCTTCTGCAAAACTTCATCCTCCAAGAAGAAAAAGCATTTCTTTGTTGGGTTTGATTTGACTGCTCATGTGCAGCCCTTGAAGCTGTACCTTCTCTGTCCATCCACAGTACTGTCTTCAACCAATGGCACACACTCGTACAAAACACTCACACCCAAACAATCACATACTCACACAAATGCCCACGTGCAAACTCTCACATGCTCATGAACAAACACCCGTGTGCAAACATTCACACACACAAACACCCACACACATACCCACAAACACTCACAAGAAAACACACACAAAATCATTCACACACTCACAACCAAACACTCATACACAAACACCCACATAAAAACAAATACAAACACCAAACCCTATGTGATCTTGAGGTTAGAAGAAGATGCTGATCCACGGGTGGTGGAAGAAGTGCTGAGGAACAGCAGTCCAGGCACATAACCAGGAGACCACCTGTGGGCCAAAGTCCCACGGAAGCCAATTTTTTTAACAAAATCATGGCAAAATTTGGCACTGAGTGGGGCCAGTTGTGACCATTGTGACTTCCTCAGAGAGCTGCGAGAAATCTCCAGGTATCTTTTTCCACTCTGCAGTGTTCTTTATATTTTTACCTGAATGTTGCATTGTAGGTAAACTCTGTTCCTTGTCTCGCCCTCACTAGTATCCTTGGGCTCTCCCCTGCACCCTGTCGGTTAAGTCATTTGTTCAGTTCTTTGAAGACAGATCAGCAACATTCCAATAGCGTTGGCTCATTTCCCCCCCCCCCCATTTTCATTTCTCCTCTGGGTGCAAACTCTGACATTCCCAGACTCCCGTCAGGGTCTCTCCATTATCTTGGCCTTGACACTTAAACAAACCCCATTCTCTCTACCCAAAGCTGCTGACCGGGATGTGAGGACTGGCTCCTGGCTCTTCCCCTTCGTGTTACTGAGCTCTTTTCCTGCTGCGCTGAGTCTGAGAGGACCTGGTGCTACCCTGTTGCTCCAGGCAGGTTGGGCTACATTATTTGTGGAACCCAGTACAAATTTAAAATGTGGGGTCCCTTTTCAAAAAGGAGGAAAACCCTTTTTCCTTTCTTCCATTATATCTCTCTCTGTATCCTGTCTCTCTGTCTCTCTCCCCTCCTCCCTGTCATTGTATTTTCTACTTGATATTTAATGATGTGCTCCCTAAATAGGGGATACTTGCAGGAGGACTGCAAAGCCTCACAGGCACCCCAAAACCTCCCCAAATCTCATGCTGTCCCACTCTGTCTCTCCGTAAATACGAATATCCATGCTGTATATGCTTCTCACCCGTTAGCCACTTAGTAGCTGTCTTGATTATTAGATTGACTGTCTCGGTATCAAAGTGCTTGTGTTCAAGTAACCCTTATTTTATTTATTTATTTATTTATTTACCTAATAATGGCCCAAAGTGCAAGAGTGGTGTTGTTAGCAATTTGGATATGCCAAAGAGAAACTTTAAAGCACTTCCTCTAAGTGAAAAGATGGAAGTTCTTGACCTTTATAATAAGGAAAGAAAAAAGTTTGTGTGCTGAGGTTGCTAAGATCTACAGTAAGGATGAATCTTCTATCTGTGAAATTGCAAAGAAGGAAATAGAAATTTGTGCTAGTTTCTGCTGTTGCATCTCAAACAACAGAAGTTGCAAACAGTGTGTAATAAGTGCTTAGTCAATATGGAGAAGCGATTAAATTCGTGGGTGGAGTACATGAACAGAAACATGTTTTAATTACTGGCAACCAGGTTCAGTACTATTCACAGTTTCAGGCATCCAGTGAGGGTCTTGAAATGTGTCCCCGCGGATAAGGCGAGACTACTGTACTAGTTTTTTGGCGGGGGCAGGGGGCACCTGGCTGGTACAAGAATCCAAACCTATGACCTTGGCATTATAAGGCTTCTCTGCCTAATATTAATCTATAGACATCATTCAAATTTCACCAGTTGTCCCAGTAATGAATGCACTTTATAGCACACAAAAAATGTCTGGTCCAAAATTCTGCAAGTTGCAAAGTCAGAGCAGAGGCTATGTGCGTGCATGGTTTAAGGTAATTTGAAGCTTCAAGACTATTTATAAATGAAATAGAGTTTTAAGAAATTTAATGTGGTTTTGGATACAGGGGACCAACAGAAAGGGAAAGAGTCAATAAGTGGATCATTAAATAAGGATTGTTTCACAGATGTCTCACCATGAACACTTTTGACTCAAATGGACTAAGTGAAATGTGGTATTATTTGTGATAGCTTCAAAGAACATTTGTTCACCTAGAACTCTTCTCCAGTTAATTTTATATGCTAATTCCTTCAACTCATTCATCACCAGTTTATTGCTTACTTTAGTTTTTAAAATTCATCTTTGCATGTTCAGAGTCATTTGTACCCATACGTGTAAGTTTCCCACCCACAATTTCTTCAGTAATAATTTTATTCTTAGAGCCCCTGGCCATGGGATTTCTTTTATAGTTGGCCATGTTGAGGAAACACAAAATCTGGGCCCCAAAGAACAAGCCAATTTGTAAATATAGAATTATTCATAAAAGGTTATTATTGAGAAAATATAAGAATGTGTGTACTGCAAATAACCCACAAATGACTAAAAAGCCATAGTGGTTGTTGAGCTCCATCTATCTGAAATTAAAGCTACACTTGTCATACAGCATCCTACTTTTGGTGAACAGTCAGCTGTTATTTAATTTGTGTTGGTTGTTATGTTAAGCTTACTCTGATGTCCTTTTTTTTTTTTT